AGCTTGGGTACTCCTCCGCCTCCCTGCAAAGTCCCTGAGACTGCCTCCAGCGCTGGGGGCCTCCCCTACTCAGTGCACAGTTGGGTGAGGTCCTGCTCTCAGCCCCTAGGAGTTGTATGGGGGTGTGGCACCGGATGGGAAGGAGGACCAGAGGCTGCTCTAATTTACACAGGGCTGAGCAGGGATTGTGCTGTGCAGCCCTGAACTGTGCAGCATTAAAACGGTGGCTTATGGTGACCTTTGGCCCCCACCTCCTACGAGGAGCCCCACAAATTGAAATGGAGCTAGGCAAAAGAGGAGTGGTGGCTTGGGCTCTCAAGCTGCCAAAGTCAGGGTGGTCTGAATCCAAGTTTCACTTTCTCAAAGCCCTCAGCATTTGCGGGGATGCTGGTAAATAAATGGTTTTAGGATCTGGCCGATTGAGATGCTCATGCCCTCTGAATGGCAGGGCTCCAAAGCCCAGCTTGGCCTCTACCTATCCCCCTAAGCCACTCTGCTCCACATCCAAAGTGAGGGGCTGTAAACCAGAGCCGTGTGTTTAGCTGCCGAACGGCAGGGTGTATAAACGGGGCTCTCGTCACGTTTTACGCGTCGCGTTGCTGGCTCTCTAAAGCCGCTGTGTGTCTGCCGCTCCACCCGGTGTCCTGGTTACCGTTTCCTGGCACGTTTCGGGGTCCTGGCTGGCAAAAACCACTGGAGCAACTCGAGCCCCCTTTGCAAACCAATCAGAAGGCACTCTTTTTTTTTTCCTCTTTGTTGCCAGTGACTAAGAATAGCGTGGGGAAGGTGTTGCTCCCTGCGTGTCCCTGGAACGTCAGAGCTGTTTGCCCGCTCTGGGCGCGGGGAGTGTACGCTCTGCTGCAGGCTGCTCTGCATGCCAGGAGCTGAGCGGTGCTAGGAGTGGAGTACAAATTCTGTAGTTCCCAGAGCACTTTGGGACCCTTCTGGATGTCAGGGCCTGTGGAGTCAGATCTGCTTGTGGTCAGACTGCGGTAAATCTGGAGTTGTGAAAAAAATTTGGTGCATCGTCACCCTCTAGGTTGGGGGCTTCCCCCCACCCCCCTCTGTCATATGGGCAGGTGCCCCTGGCACAAACACCAAGGTACAGCTGGCACTACCTGGCCCTCATGGTATATTCAGTAGAGAGCAAGGAGTGAATTGATTTTAAAGGCCCAGCTATCCCTTGAGCCCCACAAATGTATCCCAGGGTGGCACTTGAGAGAGGTGCACAGGGAGAGCCTCAGTACCCAGGGCTGCTAAGCCAACCCCTTTCACAAGACCATTATTCACCAAGAAACAAACGAGAGGGCAAAGCTCCAGAGATTCCTCTCCAGCAGCTTCTCCCAGTGCCAAACCTTCCCCCTCCAGCGAGTGTCGGCTAGAAAGACAATAGGGCCAGCATCTCAGCTAGTGGAAATCAGTGCAGCTCCTGGCAAAATAGTTTATAGGAATGTAATTGTAACAACAAAAGTTCCTGGGGAATAGCAATATTATACAAAACCCTTACGTAAAGGAGGGTTTTACAAATTAAAAAAAAAGGGGGGGGCGGTTAACAGGACATGTCCTAGCTTTCTAAATGTTTAAAGGAGCTCTTTAAAAACATAGTGTTCGTTTGCTTTTCAGAGTTTTACCTAAATGAATTGACCAGAATACAAAAATCCCAACCAAACCAAAACTTTTCTTAAGAGTTATCACTAGTAAATTGTGAAGAAAGCTTCAACATGTGGGGTATAGCACAAAAGCCCCAACTGAGGACTTTTACAATTAAAAAAATATATATATTTTTAAGAGACAAAACACCGTAGCTGTATGACCGCAGGAAGCTGTCACCCCCTCACTCATTTAAGTGAAGAAAGAGCCCCCAACCCCTCTGCTCTATTCTTGCTCCTCCTCCTGTCCTGATTTTTAGTTTAAAACTGTCACCTTTTCATATTCTTTCGATAAACATCCAGTTTTTAATCATATCAAAGTTTTAATTTATAAACTTTGAAAAAAGTTTAATGTGGAATGCAGAATAGGGGGGATAAGCGAGCTGGCCTGGATTTTAGGGGAATATTGATAACTGCCTGAAATCTTTTTGGTAGGTAGAGTTGTAGCCATGTCAGTCCCAGGATATGAGATGCGCAAGGTGGGTGAGGTGATGTCTGTCTCTCCAACAAAAGTTGGTCAAACAAAAGATAAGCTTTCGAGCCACACAGAGTGGCTCTTCTGGGCTGGAGATCTCTCTCACCAACTAGAGTTGCCAAACTTCCAGGATTGTCCTGGAGTCTCTAGGAATTCAAGATTAACCTTTAATTAAAGATTATGTCCTGTGACGAAACCTCCAGGAATATGTCCAACCAAAACTGGACCACCAACAGACGTTGGTCCAATAAAAGATATTACCTCATCCACCTCGTCTCGCAGAAATCTTTTTTGGCGAAACAGTTTTGTAGGTGGCCCTCCTTTGTTGGGCAAGCGTTTGTCAGATAGAAAGACCTCCCCACTTCATGAGGCGTTGTTTTCCCCCCCTTCAATGGACTATCGGATATAAAATTAACAAAAACATTGAGGGAGGACATGCCTGGAGATATTTTGTAGCAGTACCTGCCAAGCAACAATTACATTTTTTCAATATTTATTTATCATTACAGTCCAGGAGCCCTAAAGAATTATTTTTGTTTTTACACAACTCTTTATATTTTACTTGTATACAGACTGTAACCGTCCATGCTTTGCAGAGTTAAATAATACAAGCCAGGGGACGAGAGAGTTGAGAAATGACTGAAAACAGAGGTGTTATGATGACTAATGCAGAGGGCCCGGGGGAAATTAAAAGGCTCAGATGAAGTAGAAGAAAGTAAGATTTTAAGAGAAGATTTGAAGGGTGGGGGAATTGAGGGCTTTAAGGCTACTTTGCAATGGCCAGAGGCCCAGCTACTGATATTCCTAATGCACAAGCACACAGGCGTTCTTATTAGCGGAACAGGCCGTCCATATGCCTTTTGTTGTTAATGATTTGTCACCTAATGACAGGTGGAAGATAAAAAGAATACAAAACAAAGCATGCACCTTGCTTTTCGTTTTAACAACCTACCTTCACCCCCCATTGACTACTGTGCCAGATAGAAGTTTCTCCTTACCTTTGGAGGGAAGCCAATAGACTTTTGAGGCGTTGTCCCTAAGCTACTGGCTACGAAAGTATCGCACTTGTTGGAACAGGCCTGTTGATTAAAAACCAAAGCGCCTGATTTCACCCCTCCAGGAGAGGAAGAGGCTGGCTCTCTGATAGCGCTACGGTCTAGTTATACAGGAAAACTTATTCTAAGGGGAAAAAACAACTGGTTGCAGGGACTTAACAAATGATGCATTTCTGCTCATGCAGAGTCAAAATGTGATCTATTCGCTGGACCAGTTTGCAAAGTAAATGTTCTTAGGTCTGGAAAGAAAACTTTGAGCCCACCCTACACAATGTGGGTGCTTAGGGAAGGCAGCATGTCTGTTGCCCCAGGAGCTTCCATTTTTAGTTTCTTAGGCAGGGCCAGCGAGGGGGTATTCGACTATGATTAAAAGGAGGCCTTATGATGCAAATAAAAAGTATAGGGTCTTTCCCTTATTGGTACACGTCGGCTTATCACCGGGGCCTGGGCTGGCATGTGGATCCGTTCATCTAGCTTTGGCACACTGAGTTGGGGGGGCCCAGTGCATGTTGAGCGGGGAGGGTTCCCCCTCTGCTTTTTAGCAGTAAACAAAAGAGTGAACACAAAGTCATCCTACACCATGCACAGTGAGCTTGGGGGGGGTCCCTCCCTCCTTCCCCCCGTGCACACTGAGAGGAGGGGGGGCTCCCTATTGCCTCTCCTTCCCCCCGTGCACACTGAGCTTGGGGGGCTCCCTATAGCCTCTCCTTCCCCCCCAGTGCACACTGAGCTTGGGGAGGTCCCTCTCTCCTTCCCCCCCAGTGCACACTGAGCTTGGGGGGGCTCCCTATAGCCTCTCCTTCCCCCCCCCTGTGCACACTGAGCTTGGGGGGGTTCCCTATCTCCCCCCCGTGCACACTGCGCATGGGGGGCTCCCTATTTCTTCTCTCCCCCCCCGCGCACACTGAGCTTGGGGGGCTCCCTATCTTCCCCCCCCCATGCACACTGCGAGTGGGGGGCTCCCTATAGCCTCTCCTTCCCCCCCGTGCACACTGAGCTTGTGGGGGGTCCCTCTCTCCTTCCCCCCATGCACACTGAGCTTGGGGGCTTCCCTATCTCCCCCCCCGTGCACACTGCGTGTGGGGGGCTCCCTATCTCTTCTCTCCCCCCCGCGCACACTGAGCTTGGGGGGCTCTCTATAGACTCTCCTTCCCCCCCAGTGCACACTGAGCTTGGGGGGGTTCCCTATCCCCCCCCCATGCACACTGAGCTTGGGGGGATCCCTCTCTCCTTCCCCCAGTGCACACTGAGCTTGGGGGGGCTCCCTATAGCCTCTCCTTCCCCCCCGTGCACACTGAGCTTGGGGGGCTCCCTATAGCCTCTCCTTCCCCCCCGTGCACACTGAGCTTGGGGGGCTCCCTATAGCCTCTCCTTCCCCCCCCGTGCACTCTGAGCTTGGGGGGCTCCCTATCTTCCCCCCCCATGCACACTGCGAGTGGGGGGCTCCCTATAGCCTCTCCTTCCCCCCCCGTGCACACTGAGCTTGGGGGGCTCCCTATCTCCCCCCCCCGTGCACACTGCGTGTGGGGAGCTCCCTATCTCTTCTCTCCCCCCCGCGCACACTGAGCTTGGGGGGCTCTCTATAGACTCTCCTTCCCCCCCAGTGCACACTGAGCTTGGGGGGGTTCCCTATCCCCCCCCCCATGCACACTGAGCTTGGGGGGATCCCTCTCTCCTTCCCCCCGTGCACACTGAGCTTGGGGGGGCTCCCTATCTCTTCTCTCCCCCCCGCCCCCCCGCGCACACTGAGCGGGGGGAGGGGAAATCAGGAAGCAGCCCGTGGAATTTTCCACTCCGCCCCGGCTCCGCCCCCCGGCCCTGGCGCCGTCCATCCCGTCATGCAATGCGGATCCAAGATGGCGGCCCCCATGCAGCGGGGCTTGTCCCGGCTCCTGCCGCTCGGGCGGTGCCTGCAGGTGGAGCCGGCTGGGCGGGGGACGCAGAGAGCGCGGGGGGGAGGCTACGGGGCTTGGGGGGTGACGCGGAGTGAGCCGGGGGGGGAGGCTGCGGGGCTTGTGGGGTGACGGAGAGTGAGCCGGGGGGGGAGGCTGCGGGGCTTGGGGGTGACGCGGAGTGAGCCGGGGGGGGAGGCTGCGGGGCTTGTGGGGTGACGCGGAGTGAGCCGGGGGGGGAGGCTGCGGGGCTTGGGGGGTGACGGAGAGTGAGCCGGGGGGAGAGGCTGTGGGGTTTGGGGGGTGACGGAGAGTGAGCCGGGGGGGAGGCTGCGGGGTTTGGGGGGTGACGCGGAGTGAGCCGGGGGGAGAGGCTGTGGGGTTTGGGGGGTGACGGAGAGTGAGCCGGGGGGGAGGCTGCGGGGCTTGGGGGGTGACGCGGTGGAGCCGGGGGGGAGGCTGCGGGGTTTGGGGGGTGACGGAGAGTGAGCCGGGGGGGGGGGAGGCTGCGGGGTTTGGGGGGTGACGGAGAGTGAGCTGGGGGGAGAGGCTGTGGCGTTTGGGGGGTGGGGACGGAGAGTGAGCCGGGGGGGGGGGGGAGGCTGCGGGGCTTGGGGGGTGACGCGGAGTGAGCCGGGGGGGGGGAGGCTGCGGGGTTTGGGGGGTGACGGAGAGTGAGCCGGGGGGAGAGGCTGTGGGGTTTGGGGGGTGGGGACGGAGAGTGAGCCGGGGGGGGAGGCTGCGGGGCTTGGGGGGTGACGCGGAGTGAGCCGGGGGGGGAGGCTGCGGGGCTTGGGGGGTGACGCGGAGTGAGCCGGGGGGGAGGCTGCGGGGCTTGGGGGGTGACGCAGAGTGAGCCGGGGGGGGAGGCTGCGGGGCTTGGGGGTGACGGAGAGTGAGCCGGGGGGAGAGGCTGTGGCGTTTGGGGGGTGGGGACGGAGAGTGAGCCGGGGGGGGGGAGGCTGCGGGGCTTGGGGGGTGACGCGGAGTGAGCCGGGGGGGGAGGCTGCGGGGTTTGGGGGGTGACGGAGAGTGAGCTGGGGGGAGAGGCTGTGGGGTTTGGGGGGTGGGGACGGAGAGTGAGCCGGGGGGGGGAGGCTGCGGGGTTTGGGGGGTGACGGAGAGTGAGCCGGAGGGGGGAGGCTGCGGGGCTTGGGGGGTGACGCAGAGTGAGCCGGGGAGGGCTGTGGCGTTTTGGGGGATATAGAGTGAGTTGCGGGAAGGCTGTGAGTTTTAGGGAGGATACAGAGTGAGCATGTGGGGGCATGCAAATTGAGCTGCAGGGGGAGGCTCTGCTGTTTGGTGGGGGGATGCCGAGTGAGCCGGGGGGTGAGGAGGTGGCTAGGAAGGCTGGGTGCTTGACTATCTGCATCTTTTCGTCAGGGTGTAGAACCCTTACTCAGTCCTACTAGACTGACTCAGACCTCGCTTCTGGTCCCAGTGAGAACAAAGAGACGGCACTTTGTCCCTCCTTCTGTCAATGCCAAGCATATGACTCAGGAGGAGCAGAAGCTGAAAGCCAGGGCTGCAGGCATTGTGATCCCTTATGAGCCCCCAGAACGCCCCATCCATCTTGCCTGCACAGGTAGGAACAGGATCAAAATGGTGTTGGTGTCTTCTAGGGGTGCGAGTTGGATGTGGGATAGAGGGAGAACTGATCCTAAGTGGAAGTGTGGGACCAGTAACCTAAGAAATCTGGGACCTTTGTCAATTGGTTCAAAATGGGGCTGTTGCCTCTGATTACATTCACTGCCTCTTCATGAAGAGAATAACCCTCACACTTAACTTCTATTTAGTGCTGCTGAATGGTGCCAGACTAATGGATCAGAGATGGGATGGATGGTGCATGGCAAGCTTTCGTTTCCCCCACAGGAACGTGCCTTTCTGTGATCTGCAGGGACCGCCTCTAGGGTTGAGAGGGGCGTCCGGTCTCTCTGATCCATTCAACCCCAGTCTGCCATGAAGTGGGCCAGTTATTGCTGATTGTGGTGGTGTTTCTTGTGTTGTGGAACCTGGATTGAGACTCACCAAACACCTCTCACAGGGGCCACCCAAGAGCCAAAAGATGGTAATAACTTTAGGTCCAAACCTGTGCTGTTTTGGGGCCAGTGCCCTAGCAGTGATTGGCGACCATTGTTGAACCTCTGAGATTTTTAATCCCCACTGTACTTCTGTCCCTTCCTTTAGGTTTTGGGATAAAAACATATTTAGGGAGTAAACAGGCAATCCAGTTTCCTACTTCTCCCTGGCTGTCTAGTATTTCACCTGTTTGTTCTCTTGAGACTTTCATGTTTCTTGAAGAACTTAACCTGTTGCCATGGTATTGATCTCTTCCTGTTCTCTCTCTCTCTCTCTGACACAGCTGGAATTTTTGACCCCTATGTGCCTCCTGAGGGTGATGCCCGCTTGTCTTCTCTGTCAAAGGAGGGGCTGAAGCAAAAGGCGGAGCAGCTGAAGCAGAGTGCCGCTTCACAATTAGCGTATGTATCCCAGGCTTCCGTTCAGGAGCTGCTTCGGTGTAGCAGCAATTCCACTGCAAAGCCTTGCTTGCAACTGTAGGATGCTCAGTTTTTCCACCGGCTCTTGCCTTATTGCTGTACTGTCTTGTGTCAGTGCTGCTAACTCTGTGATACCGTCAAATAATCTTGGGGCGGGGGGGGCTGTGATTTACTCATCGGTGTTTTGTCCCCAGGGGACCGTGTCCGTGATGTGCTACCTCCTGATAGACGATGGCTAGACTCTCATTTGTTGTTGTTTGTGTTACACTCGTGTCCCTAATTCCCAGCTAAGATTGGTGCTGTACTTTGCTAGACATTGTGTAGACAGAGTAAGAGACTGACCCTGCCCTAGAGAATTTACAGTCTAAATAGACAAGACAAAGGGTGGGAGGAGAGAGGAAGTAGCATCATCCCCCTTTTGGGGAACCAAGGTACAGGGATTAGATGACTTGCTCAAGGTTACACAAGGGGGTCGGGGCAGAGCTGAAAATTGAACCTCAAACTCTTGAGTCCCACTCCAGTAGCTTAATCACAAGGCTATCCTTCCTCTCTACTTCCCTTCCATGTTCACGGCCTCTGCTCACTTGCAAAGCCACCGATCGGAAACTTCAACATGAGTCTCTGCCATTGGGAGTGAGCGCGGGGCACTAGTTGCAGGGTGAATTGCCTGACTTTTGTTGCAATGTTAAGTGCTGTATGGTGGTTGGTTATTCTAGACCACACACTACACCCATGTAATAGCTTATCTTGGGCGCAAGGAGACTCTGTGTCATCAGGGAGTCCCTAATCAGTGACTCCGCAATGGAAAATGGGATTAAAGCAAGTGAAACTGTCTTGATCTTCTGGAGGATATGAGGGTTCTGAATTGCTCTTTGCTCGAGGGCACTATATTAGCTGTAAGCCATTGGACGCTGAGGGCGTCAGACCAGCTCCCATCATAAAGCATTTCTTATCCTTGTCTTTGCAGAATCCGGAAGGTAAAAGATTATGATCCTGACTTCAGCACTAGAACATTCCCGGAGAAGGCCCAGGAGATATTCATTGAAGCTCACAATTGCCTGACAAAGTAAGAATTCGCAAAATTCTGTTACTCTGAAAAGTAAGAATTGTTCTTTCTGGGTGTTGTGGTTTTTCAGGGCTTTCCTTTTGCCCTACTTATGTGCCATATTCTTTCCTCCTCTCTTTTTAGTAGATCGTCTTTGTTTCTCAGGTGCTATGTATTTCCTGCTGCTGCCTCCATGAATAGGAGGTGGTTGAGATGCCACAGGCCAATACTCCTTTAATTCCAGCTGACAAGGACAGCAAGAAACAAGAGGTGGCAAACATATCTGGAGCCTGATTTCCAGATTTGTTGAGCATCTGCCGCTCTCACTGAAATCGGTGGAAACGTGAACGCTCAGCACCTATGGAAATCAGGCCCCGAAGGGATTGTTTTGATCCTAAGTGTTACAATGTCATGCTGATTTGCACCATTTTCCAGTGATAAGACAAAACACACTTCAAAATTGCATCTTGCTTAGTTTTAACCGCCAATAAAACAGCTGAGACATATTTGGCTTCCCAAGGGAGACCTGCTGTTAAATGTCATTGCCTTTGGGGCCTGGTTCCATTTGTGCTCTGTCCTTCATCTGAAATCCCAGTTCACAGCTCAGCCCTTTGCGTTTTGCCAGTGGATTATATACAACATGTATGGGAAGCAGGGCTTCTTGGGTGTGTCTTTTCAGCACGTGCATCGGAGTAATGTGGTGTATTTCACTTTACAGTTTCAACAAGCAGAAACTTCACTCCCTGGTGACTGAACGCTGCTACCCGGTAAATATTTATCTGGAGTCAGCATGTCCTTTAGAAACCACGAACGGGCTGAACCATCAGCTGTCTCCTTTCTTTGTACTCCGAGAAATGAGGCAGAACACAAGTCAAGCTGGGAGTTAAGGACCAGGCACTTCGTCGCATACAGTCCGTGTTTATCTCGGGGGCAGAATGGACGTGTCTTGTAAACACATGAGTTTGGGATCTGACTGGAGCTGAAGGGATGCTGCTGTGTACTACGGGACCAGAATTTGATCTACCTTTTAGAGAACAATGAACATCATTTTTGTAGGATCTCCACAATGGGCTTGCTCCCCGCATTGGAGAGAATACCAGACTCCCCCGCTGATTTCGGTGGCAACAGAATCAGGCCCAAAGAGAGCTGTAGCTGCCCCTTTGGCTCTGCCACAGCAACTAACCAAGGGTCCCTGTTTGAACAAAGGAAGTAAACAAAGCCACGTTAATTTCTGTTGCCTTGGAAATGTATGGGGAGGCCTAGTTCAGTTGAGAGCAACCTTGTTTTCATTTCCCTAAGATGCTGCTAAAACAGTGCTAAGGAAAAGTGTAAATTAAACCCTGTCTTTGAGTTCCTTTGTATTGGGGTAAGGGTGATACTGGAAGGGGCTCATCCATATCCCATGGAAAGCTAAGCACCCTTTAGGGTGCCCTAGAGACACTGAGTTTTTGTAACAGTGCTCAGCACTGCGACCGGGGGGGCCTGGGGTTAACCCCTCATGTTCTGCGTCTCCCACCATCGCGCCACGTGAGCACAGACGGCGCACTTATCCATTCATGGATTTGGAGCGTCTCTCTCCTCTGAGTGCAGGAGCCTGTCGACCAATTCGTCTTCGTGTTGCTAAGTGACGTCATTTTCTCCCTAGGAAATGGTGCGTGGGAACAGATACAATACCATCCGCTGGAACTTTGTGGAGTCGCTGGAGCCTCCCAGGGTGGTTCAGATTCGGTGCCCAGATATGGTGAACAAGGGCAACCTGTATGGACAGGTGACAGTCCGCATGCACACCCGGCAGGTACGGTCTCTTATCTGCGTGTTGTCGCACAGCCAGCCCTCGTTTGATGTCAGCATGACAGGTTTCATGGTTCTTCCTACAGACCTTGGCTATCTATGACCGGTTTGGGCGGCTGATGTACGGTGGGGAGCAGGTGCCGAAAGACGTCTTGGAGTATGTCGTATTTGAGAGGCACCTGGTCAACCCTTATGGCTCTTGGAGGGTACACGGCAAGATCGTGCCAGCCTGGGCTCCGCCAAAGGACCCCATTATCAAGGTAACACATCTGAGAGCGGGCACCCACTCCTGCTTTGTAGACCACGTGATAAGTCTGCAAAACCACCCCCCAAGTCCTGCGCTCAAAAGTTGCTCTTTCAGGACCTTGGCAGCTTCACCGCTGGTAGCGTTTCTTGCTTCTGCTGGAGGCTCTCTGGCGCACGCACCAGCCCCTTTTGCCGCTCTGTGTGATTCGGATTTTACAACAATGCTACAACAATTCGGGCAAAGAATAATACGTGGGGCTAAATATAGTTGAGCCACAGCCTGGTGCAGCTGGTTGGAATGGGGACTAGGAGCTTTGGGGTTTGAATGGTGTGGGAGGCACAGGGAGAGGGATGGTCTTCTGGCTAAAGCACAGGAGATCTGGGTTTCTAGTCCTGGTTCTGCCACAGACATGCTATGTGTCCTCCAGTGATTGACTTAACTTCCCGATCTGTAAAATGGGGATAATGCTGACCAAATCTTGGGATGTTGGAAGGCTTAATCAGCTAAGGTTTGTAAAGCATTTGAGGTCTTCAGCTGGAATATGCTATAGACACTGATTATTGTTGGCCTGAGAGCTGATTGGAGGAGGAGATCAACCCCTTTTGGCCATTTACACCCCCCGGGCTTGCTGCTGCTGCATGTGGCCAGGCAGAGACATGCATGGGCTATTACTGCTTTGCCAAACACCTGTTACAGCAAACAGGCTCCAGCTAAGGAAGGCTGCTGAGACGAGAGAAAGGGCATGGATGCTCCCACCACCCATGCACCATCTGGCCATCTTTCTTCTGGAGGGCTATGCAGTGCCATAACTCTGTGGTTGGCTTTGCAGTGCCATAACACAGAGTGGTTGGCTTTGTAGCCTGGCAAGGTGTTCTTCTGTGAGCTCAGGGGCTTTCGGTACAGAGCTTCTTTGCAGTCAGTCCAATGGCAAGCTAATTCGGTGTTTTGCTCTCTCAGACGGTGATGGTCCCTGGCCCCATCCTGGACCCCTCGCAAGAATTTGATGAGATCCAGTATGAAATGCCAAAGTCCAAACGGACGCAGTGGTACAAATAACGGCAGATGGATGGGGCAGCGACGGCGGGTGAGAAAGCAATAGGCCAGAGACGTGACCGCTCTTCGGTTGTGTGATCAGCATGACTGCGGGCCTCTATTCCAACTGAGCGGAGACGCCATCAGAGAAGTCTGTGCAGAGAAACTTACAACGAGCAGAATGCTGCCTGGCGCGGGTCGGCTCTTCCCCATACCACACGCCGTCAAGTGTGCTGACTCTCAAACTGTATCAGTTTTGCTCTGGAGACCAGTAATCCCCCATCTTCAGAATTGCTCATTAAGCAACCCTCAGTGCAGGGACTGATGTCCCTGCTTCATTGGCCAGAGGAGTGTGTATGGGTGTGGAGTACCGTTCTTTTCTTTTTTCCTTCCCCTAGTTTGCCTCGGTGGGTGGTGCCCACGCCTCGATTCTGTGATTCTGAACCCCCTGTTCTCCTCCCTTGCTTGTGCCCCTATAGTCACAATAACAATCTGTGGGAGACGAGCGTCAAACTCTCCCGTTCGAAGGTTGGAAACCAGGCTGTAAATTGCCGTCCACCCATCTTGCACCCAGAAATGGGGAGCTCCCAAATGGGGTTGTAATACTGCGCCTGTAATGTAATAAAACACCATGGGCTTGTTGACCCAGAAAGGTGTGTAAATTACCATTTGCAGCCCAAGAGGCAGCAGGTTTTGCCGTCGATGCTTCTGGAAGGTCTGTATCTGATCGCTGATCATGAAGATGGATGACGGTATATTGCTGACAGTGGTTACAGGGGGCGGGTTGGCGGGACATTTTTGCACTCTCACAAGTTTTTGCAGCCCTGCTTTCCCAGTAGGACAGCTTGAGTCATCTGTTACCTTTGCCTCACTCTTGTCTCCCTGTGAGAGAAGTAAAAGGCTCCCAACCGGCTATGGGCTCCTCCCTCCCTCCTTGGGCTGCTCACGTAGCTCCTCTCTCCCTTTTTGCTGTGAGTTGGCATTCTGCTTGCCAGGGCTGCTTTGGGGATCAGCATCCCCCTTGCTCTGTCTGTGTCTCACTGCGCTGGGGGAAGTGGTGTGAAGGTAGCAGAGCAGCCTGGCTGGGGCGTTCTGTTTAGTAAATGGAAACTGCCCTGTCACTCACCCTGGGAGAGTAGCAAAGTAGGCGTCATGTCTTAAACCAGCTAAGTCTCCAGCGTCCTAGTTGGCTTTCCGAAGGAGAGGATGATGAGCAAGTGACTTGAATGAGGTCACAAGATGCAGCTCTAGCTAGAATACCGCTGGCTCCTAGTCCTCAGAGCAATCCCAGTATGGATGTAGCTGCCTTTTGAAATGTACATACGTTTGCAGGTCGAGGAACGACGACCGCACCGAGTGGGAATACAGCATTATTAGAAAATTACCATGTCATATTTTACCTTGGCACTCAGTGACAGATGCTGTACCCTGCAGTCCGTGTCCCAGAGAGCTTGCAACCTAAAGAAAGACCCCCATTTTGTTAGCTTAGAAATAGAAACATTTCTTAAAAATGCGTAAGTGCCCCTCCTGATTTCTCAGTGGAGTGGAGTACACCTAAGGCAGGAGACACTCCATTTTCTTCAGTCTCCCAGGTTTTCCCAGAGTGCAGGGTTTGGCAAGTGCTTACACTACAGCTTACGTGTTTGGTCTCTTGGGGGAGAAGCCAATGGTGCTCTCTTGACCTGTCCTCAGACTCATTCCTTTTGCTCTTACTAACAATCCAGCTGTTCATGTTTTAGCAGATGCCAGAACCTCTTGTATGCTACTTGACCCTCTTCAGGAGGCCATGTGCAGTGGAATTTGAGAGCATTATTCTTTCTGCCTCAGAGGAGAGTTGATCCCATCTGTTCCATATGAAGCCTGTAGTAAGAGTCTCTTAACTACTTACTCTTGCATAATTCTGAAATATCTCCTGCGAGTGGAGTATTTCTAAAATCTCAGCCAAGGCCTTTCTCTCTCCATTGCGAGCAAAGCCAGCAATAGACCTCTTTAAGAATCCCTTTATTTTTGAACCCAGATCCCCCCGCCTTTCCCAAAAGAGCGTCCTCTAAACAGAGGTTTCGGAGGATAGTCAGCCCATGGGCTCAGGGTTTATAGGGAAATCTCTCTACAGCTCCACCACGTGCAGGCTGGGAGGGGAGCGGCTACCTAAGAAAAATCACAGTTTCAGACAGTTGTCCGTTTTGAGGCTGTGGTGACCAAAGCTGATGGTATAGTCCAGGGGTGGCCAACCTGTGGCTCCAGAGCGGCATGCGACTCTTCAGAAGTTAATATGTGGTTCTTTGCATAGGCACCGACTCTGGGGCTGGAGTTACCGGTGCCGGGGTGAGGGGGAGGAGGAGGGTGCTCACTGCTCAACCCCTGACTCTGCCCTTTCCCCAAAGGCCCCCGCTCCTTCCTGCCCCCTTCCCTGAGCCTGCCATGCCCTCGCTCCTCCCCCTCCCCCCAGAGCCTCCTGCATGCCACTGGAGGCATGGGGAAGGAGCGGGATGCACTGATCAGCAGGGCTGCTGGCAGGCGGCGGGGAGCTAATGGGGGGCTGCTGATGTATCACTGTGGTTCTTCGGCAATGTCCATTGGTAAATTCTGGCTCCTTCTCAGGCTGGCTACCCCGGTATAATCTGTACGACACAAAACGCAACCCAAGTGCCTTCCCTGCTCTGGTTTCTAGTTAAGAATCCATAGCATGTGGGCTCTGAGTGAAAAGTGCCCATTCCTCTCTTACGGGAGTCATTGAACGGGTTTGTGCTCCTCAGGGGAAGGTCTGCGCTGGCCGTCAACCTTAACAGTGCAGTTAAACAGACCCTCCAAGTTCCACGTGTGTGCGCTGTAGTATCCTCTCTGCTGCCTTGGGGAAGCCTGTAGTGTCTCTTCCATTAATATATTATTTAGCACCTAGAGGCCCCAACCCAGCGGAAGGCTGCAGTGTACAAACACTGTCTATCCTAGAGCGCTTATAATCTACGTAGACAAGACAAAGGGTGAGGGGGAAGTGACTTACTCAAGGGTCCAGTGGCAGAGTCAGGGATAGCCCCCTGATCTCCAGTCCAATGCTCTACTCACTAGACCATACTACCTCTCTCCAGTACCATGTTTTCTTCTTCAGAGATAGACGCTTGCACCAAAGTGCCAGTCAGGAGAAACACAGTTGCTTCCCTGTGTGACCTTCCGCCCACTGGAGCCCACACCTAGTGAAAGGACTGTGTTAAATACTGTATGGAAAGGGGTGGCCTGCAGTGAGGGCTGGGGATGCAAAAGCTTCCCCTAACTGGAGGAACAGCGCTGGGGAAAGTTACGCAGACCAGCTTGTCAAGCGGTGCACTGCTTGGGCCTATAATGAAATGAATGGTTCCGTAATCCTTACCCCTGAGCTGCAGCCTCAGTGACACCAGAGTCTTGAGAGAGAAGCGATAGGAAAAACCAGCAATAAATCACAGCCAGTAGTTCTGCTTGTGGATATAGATAACTCTCTTTATTCTCTGTATGTACATTTTCTTACACAATCGGATGATCCCGTGTGACATTCAGCGCTGAAACAGTTACGTACGCTATACGGCATCGCAACTCCCTACGGACACAGTGAAAGTAAAGGACGGGAGGGGAGAGGAGACAAATCCTGGGCCAAAGCCACGCGATGGGGGATGAAGCTAAAACATTCACTTTTGCTGTCTCTGACCTCACTGCTCCCATCTGAATGGGACAGGTGGCAAAGGTGAGGAATACTGGGAAGCTACTGTCCCGAGCAGCCCTGACTCCTGGAGAGAAGGGGAAAGGGCCAAGATCAAGTTGGTAGAACTGGCATCTCTGTCACAGCGCTTTCTCTGTCATGGTCTCAGATCTATGCTAAGCTGGGCAGAGCTTGGGGCTGGGTGGGGACCTCTAAGGCTGGCCCTGGCCATTCTCCCCCCATTTCTCTCCTCGTGGGGAAAGCTTTCCTTTGTATTTCTCTTTCTGTCCACGGTCAATAATTGTCCCACTGTCAATCTGCCGCTGCCCACGTCAGGCACCGTGTTTCCTCCTGTGGAAAGTTCCAGGGCGAGGAAGTTGCGTGCACCTTCCGCTGTACAATTCCCACCTGTTTTAAGGAGAGGGGAGAGGTCATGGGGAGAACGGGGCACTGTCTAGAGCCAGGCACGGGGTGGGCAGGTAGGCACTGCTGGCTTCCCAGATGCCCCTCTGCTGATGCACCTTGGTCCTTGCCCAGCAGCACTTGTGCTCTCCTGACTAGGGCCTAAGGACCCGCTGCATTGATCCATGCTGCTCAGGCTCCCAGCATATGCCCTCCTTTACACAGGGGCCCTTTCTTGGGCTGCTGCAGCATTAGGCCCTTTTGGGGACTGGGCTTCCAGCAGGCGTAACATCTCCAAACTCCACCTAAAAATTGGTGCAGGGTGGCGAGGGTGGAGTGGGGGACAGGACAATAAAGGCATCCAGGAAAACACACCTCTCTGTGTCGCCTAAAAGTGAAGGCTTGCTATTCTTGACCGTGAAAATGAAAGCGATTACCCTTCTTGGGGAGGCTTGGATGCCTTCTGGGCCAAGAAGCGGAATTGTAGCCCTAGGCATGTTTGCACAGGGTGTGATCACACAGACACGCACAGTAACCAGTAATGACAAAGTGCTTTGGAAAGTTAGTGGCATTGTTAGTTAAGACAATAAACACCCTTAAGTTGGAGTTCCCGTGACAGCAGTGTAACAGTGCCGTGTATTTAGCCAGCTGCGTCACTGGTACTGCGGTGAGTGATCCCTGGGGTTCGTTAATACCGAGGTTTCTAAAAGTGAAGCATTGGAAGGGCCTGAAGGTTAGTTTATTCCCTGGGAAGACATCCAGAGATTTGTGGCAAGAGAAAAGAGAATCACTGACTCACAAATAACATGCAGGCACTGAGCCAGCATCACTGGAATGAAACAAAAATGGCTCGTTTCAGATACATGAAATTTGTGTGACTGGTTCAGGGCCTCTGTGGGGAATTTGAAAGTAACTTAATTTGAAATCTAGGCAACAGAGTGACACGCGACTGGAGTGGAACATAAGCAGCAGTTTGTTTATCTCAAGCTTCAAAATCTGAACTAGATTACTGGAGCTACCCTTCACCAAAATGAAGATGGCTGCAGCGTTCGACGAGTGATCGGTTGGGCTGTTGGCAATGACTTGAAAAGCATCTTCCCTTTCCTACTCGGCCTCATCTTTGCATTGACCCTGTCCCCATGTTCCACCTCACTATTATGTTTCGTTCGGCTCTGCACAATAGGCTTTTCATTGACGTTCAAGGTCCGAGCCTGTCAATTGCAGAAGTCTCTCAATACCCGTTGTCTTCAAATTTTAGACTCCAGTTGTGTGCCCAAAGTGCTGCTAATTACGCCAAACACAACTGTTTCCCTGTTGCCTTGTCCTCCCCTGTGTGTTATGTTTTCTCCACTGGCTAGCTCCCCTCTGTTGCTAAGATTGGTAACTCTTTGGGGCAAGGACTGCCTTGTCATTACAGACTCAGCGCTCGGCACAGTGGAGTCTTGATCCTGACTGGGGCCTCCACCATAATACAAATGTTAAACAACAATAATTTGAAGGTGCTCAGCACCTTGCAGGAGGTGACCTTGGCAGGCTCAGGCCTGGGAGAGAGGGTCAGTGACTTGGGAAAATACAAACCTCAAAGTAAGTAGCTCA